GGCTGGATTGCTGCCGGGTTGGGCCGGTAGCGCCGCTCCTCAGCGCTGTGGGACCAACCCGGTAGCTCTGCAGCCCCGAGGGGCAGCGCTACGGGACCTACCCAGCAGCACCACAGCTGTTCTGCCCACAGCAGAGGCGCTGCCGGGTTGGTCAGTTTTAGCAGTGGCTGAATCGGAGAAGCCGAGGGCAGAGCAGCTCCAATGGTCCAGCTGCTCGGAGCACTTCCGGGTTCCTGATGGTGCCGGACCATCAGATGCCGGACCAATGGAGTTTTACTGTAGCTTGTGGAAGAATATTAGAAGATTAGGGTAGGAAGAAACTTCATCAAGCCATCTAGTCCAACCCCCTGCTCAAAGCAGGACCAACCCCAACTACATAATCCAGTATTTGTATTGTGATAGCAGCGAGGAATCCCACACAGGGGCTAGGCCCCCATTGCATCAGGCACCACAAACAAAGACCAGAAATTCAGTCCCTGCCACAAAAAGCTCATAATATGCTAGTCAGCATCTGCCACTCTGGCGCCAATGCCCGTCAGGCAAAATAATGAATTCTACCTCAGCCATTTAATATAATAGAAATAAATCTCCACCCTAGGATTAATGTCACCTGTTTTAAAAACAAATTTCTTGACTTGACATGTTCGTATATTTTGGTAAGTGTCTGTAAGCCTTAAATGTCTTGGGACTTGCCTAATTGATGCATCCCATCCAGTGCACAGCTGCAGTGAACGAAGATCCTTCAAGCTGGAACCCCTTTGGTGTACAACGATGGGGCTGCTCAAAGATGTTTTCCATGAAGGGCCTTCGGTTTCAGAAGAGGCCCAAATCTGTTTCCTCTCGGCGCAAACTAGTTTCTTTATTTAAGGCTTTTTACACTTAACAGTGCTGTATCCGAGCAGCCGTAGTGCTGAGTGCAGTGCTCCCTGTGCTGTCGGGGAAGGCACTCCGCCTCTCTGAGAGGTAATAACTCTGTCAACAAGAGAAGCCCCCTCTCTCATCGACATAGCACTCTGCTCCAGGGATTAGAGAGATCAAGTACATCTCTCAGGAGTCTGGATTTTCTACACTCCTGAGCAACACAGCTATACTACCTTAAATTGGTCAGATAGGGTATGCCTAGACTACATGCCTCTGGTGACAGAGGCCTGTAGATTAGGCTACCCGGCATAGGCAAAGAAGCGGGGATTTAAATAATCCCCGCTTCATTAAAATAAACATGGCTGCTGCGCTGTGCCAACGATCAGCTGATCCAGCACTGCGCGGTAGTCTAGACACAAATCAGTCGGCTGGGGAAGCCTTTGCCGACCGATCCCTTATGCCTCATTTCACCAGAGGCATGTAGTCTAGACATCCCCATAGACTAAACTTTAGCCTTTGGGAAAGGAGGAGGCATGGAAAGATCTGGTGTTTGCACATAGTGTGTGGGTTTGATTTCATGTCTGGTTGCTTGTTTCTGGTTTTATGAAGGAAAGTTTCTGTCTTACATCGTGGTACACTTGCAAAGACACTTAGAGCCTGGCCTAAGTACTTTGTAATCCTGACTATAAATTGATTAGTATGTTCTGAATGAAAATGAGGGATGAAATTTCAGTAATCATGGAACTGAAGACCTGTATTTCAGCAAGGTGTAGTGTAAGAAGTGCTGCGAATGTCCACATACTTGTCTGCCAGGACACTTAAATAGGGAGTTGCTAATCTGGTCAGTGTAATGGATTTATTTGTTCAATTAAGTGGCTTTTATGGAGTACTCGGGTGGGAGCTAGGATGAGACTGTTTGGCTTGTTTATATGTGTCCTGAAATTAGATTTGAATTCATGGCTAGTGGCTTGGGACACAAACCCCCTATATACCATTTAACCCTTTTCAGTGCTTTGTCATGGCATATGAAGCATGTCAGTGCATGAGACCATTATCCTGTGACAACATTTTATTCTGTTGGCATTATCACTCACTGAAACCCAAACGAAACTCCATTAGTGGCCATGAGTGTACTGTGATATTTTTAATCAACGGCAAACATTTATGTCATCCAAGTGAAGCATTTAACATTCCTATTATAAGCGCCTCTGCTCAGGGGGTTCTAATTCTGCCAAAAGTGTGGGTTAGACTGAAACTTGGTATGCAAGTCATCAGCCCACAAGCATATTTTTTCATGTCATCAATTTAACCAGTTGAATATCTCAAATGGTTTTGCTTTAGAAATGTGCATTAATCACTCTGTTAACTAGAGACTGGCATTTGAAATGGCCCAGATTTTATGTCAGAGTTGTGTACAGGACAGAAAAGGAGTCAATTATGTTTTGTTAACAAGTGTTAGACCCTTTCTTGACAAAATACGTAACTTAATATTGAGTAATCAGGCGCTGCTGTCAAGTGCACTGAGTGATAAAAGATTTATTGCACCATTGGGTACATTTAGTATTTAAACAAGAGTTGAAAGATTGCTTCGGTGAGGTGTGTGTGTGTTTATATCCTTTTTCCAGTACAAACGATCTTTCTCTGCCGTATCATCAGCATTGTTCATGTTTGTTTCTGAATGGGGTAAACTGGCACATTTTTTATACTCTGTGGTAGGTGAGGGGGGGGGGGGGGGGGGGGGGCTTTTTCATGGCCATTTTTTTGATTGTGGGGTGGGTGGGGGGGGGGGGGAGGAGGGGGCATCTTTCAAAAGAAAAGTTTACATTCCTCCAGCAGTGAAGTTTAGGGAAAATTCGAATCACATCAGTTTGAAATTACTCAGCCTCAGGATAAATGACCCTCCTTCCTGTACGCAGCTCAAAAATAACTTTATTGTTTAAAACACAAGTCAGTTAAAACATCACGAATAGGCTAGCAGTTTTGTTGAAACATCACTTTCTAGCCTGTGCTTGTGTCTTTTGAACTAGACAAGAAGATGCTCCTTTGTCTTAAAACATGCTTTTACTGTGACCTAACTTAAGAGAATCTATTTTTCAGAACTTCCCATGGACACTGGAGTCAGTTCCACAGAGCTTAAGCAGTGTGGTGGAACTGAACAAAATTAGTCAGATAGGTAGCAGCCATTCTGTTTCAATTGTGAGGATCGCCGCCAGAGGGAAGAGCATCTTTTGTTTGCCCTTTTCACCAACATTGCACAGAATCAAAGCTGGAGTCTAGGCCAGTTTATTGGCTGAGAGGAATTCATAAAAGTAGCAGGGTGAACTGTTGATTGATTGTATTGTCACCCACAGCTGTTACCTGAGTAGTGGGGCATGTGCTGTGAGCACTGAATATTAAAGGGTATATAATGATGAATTTTTTTGTCCTAGTTGCTAAATGTTGGACCACGACGATCACAGCCAAACCAGAGGAGGGAGCCCAGGAAGATCATCACTGTATGTGTGAAAGAAGATGTCCACCTGAAGAAAGCAGAAAATGCCTGGAAACCAAGCCTGAAAAGAGACAGCCAGGTTGAAGACTCTGAAAATATAAAAACCCAGGTGAGAACAGTCTCAACATACTTTGTGAAAGCCAGTGAATTTCTGGGATGGCCAACACTGGCTAGTTGGATCCTCAGTAGTCACCAATATTTCATTCTGTTAACACTGAAAAGACGCTCATTCTTGATGTTATGATACTCTTCCCCTGGCTGTTGTAGGCCAATAACTCCAGCAGCACTGAGGTCCAGTTTGAGTCAGTTCTGATCTGACTTTTTGTTTTGTTTTGTTTTTTACTCTTATTCAGAGTTAACATTAGGTCACTTGATATATAAAGAGAGAGGAGACAGGGAATACCAGACAACCTACTACCTCTCTGCCAAGATTATTTTTAAACAGCTGTTTTACTTCTGCCTTCATTTTAAAAACAAACTCCAACTTTCAACTGGACCTATACATAAAATGCTTCCGCCAACGAGCACAGGCAGAAATTGTGGAAAAACAGCATCACTTGCCCCATAACCTCAGCCGTGCGGAACACAATGCCATCCACAGCCTCAGAAACAACTCTGACATTATAATCAAAGAGGCTGATAAAGGAGGTGCTGTTGTTATCATGAATACGTCTGACTACCAAAAGGAGGCTACCGGACAACTCTCCAATACCACATTCTACAGGCCACTTTCCTCAGATCCCACTGAGGAATACACTAAGAAACTGCACCATTTGCTCAAGACACTCCCCACACAAGCACAGGAACAAATCTACACAAACACACCCTCAGAGCCCCGACTGGGGTTCTTCTATCTACTACCCAAGATCCACAAACCTGGAAATCTTGGACTCCCCATCATCTCGGGCATTGGCACTCTCACTGAAGGACTGTCTGGATTTGTGGACTTCCTACTCAGACCCTACGCCACCAGCGCTCCCTGCTGACTGAAGGACTGTCTGGATTTGTGGACTTCCTACTCAGACCCTACGCCACCAGCGCTCCCTGCTGTCTCCGAGACACCACTGATTTCCTGAGAAAACGACAATGCATTGGAGATCTTCCAGAAAACACCATCCTAGCCACCATGGATGGAGAGGCTCTCTACACAGACATCCCACACACAGATGGAATACAGGCTGTCAGGAACAGTATCCCTGATGATGCCACAGCACAACTGGTGGCTCAGCTCTGTGACTTTATCCTCACACACAACTATTTCAGATTTGGTGACAATCTATACCTCCAAACCAGTGGCACCACTATGGGCACCTGCATGGCCCCACAATATGCCAACATTTTTATGGCTGACCTGGAACAATGCTTCCTCAGCTCTTGTGCACTAGTGCCCCTTCTCTACTTTCGCTACATTGATGACATCTTCATCATCTGGACCCATGGGAAGGAGGCTCTGGAAGAATTCCACCGCGATTTCAACAATTTCCACTCCATCATCAACCTCAGCCTGGACCAGTCTACACAAGAGAGCCACTTCCTGGACACTACAGTGCAAATAAATGATGGTCACATAAACCCCACCCTATACCGAAAAACCTAGTAACTGCTGTGCCTACCTTCAAGCCTCCAGCTTCCATCCTGGATACATCACACGATCCATTGTCTACAGTCAAGCACTAAGGTACAATCGCATTTGCTCCAACCCCTCAGACAGAGACAAACACCTACAAGATCTTCACCAAGCATTCTTGAAACTACAATACCCACAGGAGGAAGTAAGGAAACAGATTAACAGAGCCAGACGTGTACCCATAAGCCTCCAACTACAGGACAAGCCCAACAAAGAAACCAACAGAACACCACTGGCCATCACCTACAGTCCTGGACAATGATCCCTCACTTTCACAGGCCTTGGAAGGCAGGCCATTTCTCGCCCACAGACAGCCTACCAATCTGAAGCAAATTCTCACCAGCAACTATACATCACACCACAGTAACTCTAACTCAGGAACCAATCCCTGCAACAAACTTCGGTGCCAACTCTGCCCACATATCTACACCAGTGACACCATCACAGGACCTAACCAGATCAGCCACACCATCACAGGTTCATTCGCCTGTGTATCTACCAATGTAATATACGCCATCATGTGCCAGCAATGCCCCTCTGCTATATACATCAGCCAAACTGGACAGTCCCTACGTAAAAGAATAAACGGACACAAATCAGATATCAGGAATGGTAATGTACAAAAACCTGTAGGAGAACACTTCAATCTCCATGGACACACAGTAGCAGATTTAAAGGTAGCCATCCTGCAACAAAAAAACTTCAAGGACAGACTTTTAAGAGAAACTGCTGAGTTACAGTTCATCTGCAAATTTGATACCATCGGTTTAGGGTTAAACAGAGACTGTGATTGGCTAGCCAACTACAAAAGCAGTTTCTCCCCTGTTGGTGTTCACACCTCCACATCAGCTGCTAGAAGTGGACCTCATCCTCCCTGACTGAATTGAGCTCGTTATCTCTAGCCTTACTCTTGACTGGTACTCTTTTCTTATGCCTGTATATTTATACCTGCCTCTGGAATTTCCACTACATGCATCCAACGAAGTGGGTCTTTGCCTACAAAAGCTTACGCTCCAATAAATCTGTTAGTCTATAAGTTGCCACAGGACTCCTTGTCGCTTCTGCAAATCCCTAAATAAGTTAGTATTAAAGATGAACTAAAAAGCTTTTTACCTTAGAAAACAGAGAGATGCACTTCCTTTTTCTTTTGATATAGGTGAAATTGTCAGCAGTTACAGGAGAGCCTCACTAAATCTATCTTGCGGGTACATGAAGGCAGAACTGACTTTCAAGTATTTTGTTATAAAATGTACAATGGAGCCTGCCTCCACCGGAATGGGGAAATAGTGATATTCTGTTAATTGTCAAGTACAATGAAAATCACTCATAGTTTCAAAGCACTACCAATTACAGTTTTAGTAATTGGAAACTTCTGTTTGTGAGTAATAATTAATACAGTATTGACATGGAGTGTGAAGTGTGTTTAAGGACTTGTCTCAGCGTTTCTCTGTGCGTATTGCCATTACTGGACATACATTCTGTTACTGACTTGGCATCTTAAACCTTTTAGAGCTTTTCTGTACACCTTTAAAATGTTCATTATTCGGATTACCTCCTATAATCTTGCTGTTTGTCCTCCGCACTTACTGTTTTTATCGATGTGTTTAGGAGCTGTTCCGCAAAGTTCGAAGTATCTTAAACAAATTGACGCCACAGATGTTCAATCAGCTAATGAAGCAAGTAACGGATCTGACTGTAGACACAGAAGAGAGGCTGAAAGGAGTCATTGACCTGGTCTTTGAGAAAGCCATCGATGAGCCCAGCTTCTCTGTGGCTTATGCGAATATGTGTAGATGTCTTGTAACGGTAAGAGCGGCAAAAGTCATACAGGAGTTTCCTGTGGGTAAGTTCTCCCCTTGCTGCACATTATTCCCATGGACTGAAATGGGAATTATGTAAACACACCCAGGGCAGAATTATACCCCTTACTATTTGTTATTGCACCCAGAAATCCCAGAGTGAAATTGATTAGGACTGATGCTAAGCTGATATCCAGATATGAAGCTACTGAATGCTGAGCCCCTTTGAACGTCTGCTAATTAAATTGAATTCAGCCCTAAAAGTAGCTCCACTGAAAACAGGATTCCAGATTCAAGTTTTGTCACAGATTTCAAGAGTAAATGTGTGCAGTTTGCAAATAGAAGGTTGAGGCAGTTTCAAACTTCCAGCCCCACCAACTGCCCTTGGGCTCTGACAATCAATTCAGTCTTTCTTTTTTCACTGGTGGTTTTGTATTCCCAATCGTGTTCTCAGTTATGCTTACAGGGGCTCTTTGCACTGTTTATGATGTATTATGAAAAAGTGTATTTACACAAAGATTTTTAAACCTGGTTAGTTATTTGCTAGAGAGAAGTGTGAAATTGTGTTGCTCTGTGTTGAGGCACATTTTAAACTAAAAATTAGGTATCCTGACTCATTACTGCAGATACTCTCAACAAAATAGATACACAGTGCATCATTGTGATAATTCTTAACAGCTCCAGTACTGATTCACTAAGGGTACATCTACACTGCACGCTTATTTTGAAATAAGCTATTCCAGAATAGTTATTCCAAAATAGCTTATTTTGAAATAGCACATCTACACTGCAGGGAAGCTTCAAAATTAGTCTGAGGCAGGCTTCCCTAATGTAGACGTGCAGTCTCAATTTAGAGCCCCAGGAGGAACGAGGAAGGAATGGTGCTTCTACACAGGCCTTATTTTGAAATAGCTATTTCGGTGTAGGTGTTAGTCTTCATAGAATGAGGTATACAGATTTCAGAATAAGCCACCTGTTATTTCACAATTATTTCTAAATAACGGAATGGCTGTGTAAACGCTCACATAATTATTTCGGCCCTTATTCCGAAATAACTTTGCTGTGTAGACACACCCTAACAGAATGGTGCAAGTGCCATTTGGAAATGGAGAGACCGAGTTAAGAACTGTTACTGATGTATGATTGAGTTTAATGCCTTTTTGGAAATGACAATCAAATACAGAGTTCATTTCAGGCCACAGACTTGTGCCCTGGCCATGCAGTTTTAGTTCCACAGAGAGCATGAGTGATTTTTATCCTAATTGCTGCACCATGACAAACAATACAGTCGAGAATTGCTGGCCATGTTATTAACGTTAACATGCAGGAAGGAAGAATGGAGATTGAGGGTGGAAAAAAGAGGGGGAGAAGTAGAGAAGTGGAGGGAAAAGAAAAAAGGAGAGGTAGTGGTGGAAAAAACTAATCCTACCAGAAATAGCACCTCTTGTCACTCACAGACAAGAAGCACTGCCTCCAGAAAAGCCATGTCAGGCATCAGAAAGTTTCAGGCGAGATAGGGGAGGGCCGAATCACACCAAACTTAAGGTAAGAAACATTTACCTGTAAAAATCTGGGGAAAGACCCTTATTTTTCCAAGGGTTAATCCCTGTTTTTGTCATTGATGGAGCACTGCCCCAGTGTGGCACATTTCTGAAATGAACCCTGAAAATCATGGACCTGATAAGATTTATCTACTTAGTTTGTACTGTTACACAGGCAGCATCAGGATTGTTCTGTGAATGTTTACTAACAGTAATGTGTACTGTTGTTACATAGCTGTAGACTCTGAAATGCATACAAAGATCCATATTTTACAATGTTCTTATTTTAAAAAATCATGTCTCTTAAACAGGATTCTTTGTAGGCTAGTATGCTGTCAAACAAGGTTTAGTTTGATGACAAATTTCACATCTGAGTTGTGCTTGTCTAATGAAAACGTTGGCAGGATGTTTAACTGTAATAGGTTTGCACGCTCTGCTATTACTAGCTATAGAATGCATGATAAAATGTACCTGTGTAGATCAAACCCTTTTGTTTGCAAGGTTTAACTGCATTGTCCCTGTGTTTTTCTTCCATGGGCTGTAGCTGAAAGTACCTATGACAGACAAGCCTGGGAGCACAGTAAATTTCCGCAAGTTGCTACTGAATCGTTGCCAGAAGGAATTTGAAAAAGACAAAGCCGATGATGATGTTTTTGAGAAGAAGCAGAAAGAGCTTGAAGCTGCTACCGCTGTGAGATTCTTTATAAAATACCTCCGATCTGTGGCAGGGCTGCTGTGGGGGCTTTGGAAAATTTTGATTTCCTGTGTTGCTGTGGTGCAGTTTCATAAAAAGCTACTTGATCATAAGAACAGCCACACTGGGTCAGACCAAAGGTCCCTCTAGCGCAGTATTCCTTCTTCTGACAGTGGCCAATGCCAGGTGCCCCAAAGGGGGAATGAACAGAACAGGGAATCATCAAGTGATCCATCCCTGTCGCCAATCCCAGCTTCAGACAGAGGCTGGAGACACCATCCTGGAAGTTAGCCAGTCATGGACCTATCCTCCATGAATGTATCTAGCTCTCTTTAGAACCTTCAAAACATCCTCTGGCAAAGAGTGCCACAGGTTGACTGTGAGTTGCATGAATAAATAGTTCCTTTTGTTTGTTTTAAACTGCTACCTATTAATTTCATGTGGTGACCCCTTGATCTTGTGTTATGGGAAGGAGTAAATAACTATTCTTTAATCACTTTTTCCACACCAGTCATGATTTTTTTCTTTATTTTATCATATCCCCCCCTTAGTCATCTCTTCCAAGCAGAAAAGTCCCAGTCTTATTAATCTCTCCTAATATGCCCTTTTCTGAACTTTTTCCAATGCCGAGATATCTTTTTTTGGGATGAGGCAACCACATCTGCACCAGGGATGTGAATCATTAACCAGTTAAGCAGTAAGCATCACCCTTGCCGGATGATACTTCCCAGTTCTGTTTAACTGGTTACCCGATGCAGGTGGGGAGCACTGTACTGCGGGCCTGGCTGAGCCAGAGCAGCTGGCCCCATGGTGGGCAGTGGACACTCCTGCCCGACCAGAGCACCCCCTCCTGCAGCCGTTTAAGCTGTATAATGTTTAATTGATTAAACGGGATTTTACATCCCTAATCTGCACTCGGTGCTCAAGATGTGGGCGTACCATGAATGTATATAGAGGCAATAAGATATTCCCTGTCTTATTCTTTATCCCTTTGTAAATTATTCCTAACATTCTGTTGGCTTTTTTGACTGTCACTGCACATTGAGTGGATGTTTTCAGAGAACTATCTACAGCAGCGGTTCCCAACCTTTTCCATATGGGGACCCATTTTGACAATTCAGGAAGACTTGGTAACCCAGGGCAATTCAAAAAATGTGTGAATGGCTCCTTAAGAGACACCTGGGGAGACACCTGGCGACCCCTTTGAAATGTAATGGCAACCCATATTTAGTTCCCAACTCATAGGTTGGGAAACCCTGATCTACAGTGACACCAAGATCTCACTCTTGAGTGGTAACAGCTAATTTTGTCCCCATCATTTTATACGTATAGTTGGGATGATGTTTTCCAATGTGCATTACTTTGCATTTATCGTCATTAAAATTCATCTCTCATTTTGTTGCCCAGTTCACCTAGTTTGGTGGGAACTTTTTGAAGCTCTTCACAGTCTGCTTTGGACTTAACTATCTTAAGCAGTTTGTATTATCTTCAGATTTTGCCACCTCACTGTTTACCCGTTTCCAGGTCATTTATGACTTTTTCGAATAGGATTGTTCCCTGTATGGGCCCCTGGGCATGCCACTAGTTACCTCTCTCCATTCTGAAAACTGACCATTTATTTCTGTCCTTTGCTTCTAATCTTTTAACTAATTGTCAATCCAAGAGAGGACCTTTTATCCCATGACAATTTACGTTGCTTTTAAGAGCTTTTGGTGAGGGACATTGTCAAAGGCTTTTTGGAACTATAAGTACACTATATCCACTGGATCCACCTTCTCTACGTGCTGGCTGATACCCCCCTCCCTCTCAAAGAGTTCTAGTATATTGGTGAACCATGATTTCCCTTTACAGCAGAGGTGGGGAACCTAAGGCCCAGGGGCTGGATGTGGCCCCCAGCTTGCCTGGATCCAGCCCTCGAGGCTCAGGACTCCCTCCCCAGCATTAAGGAGCCTGTGGCAGCGCTCCAGCCCCCGCTGCCTCCTTTCAGGGCTGGAGCACACAAAATCTACTAATCTGGGCCCCACTCTGGTATGTGAGGGGAACGTCAGTGAGGGGTTTGGGGTTTTTTTGTTTGTTTTGTTTTTTTGCTTCTCACTTGTGTGTAGCTCCTGACTGACTTTTCTATGGGTCAGCAGCTCCCAACCCAAAAAAGGTTCCCCATCCCTGCTTTACAGAAACCATGTTGGCTTTTCTCCAACAAATTATGTTTATCTATGACAATTCTGTTCTTTACTGTTGTTTCAGCTCATTTGTTCCGTATTAAAGTTAGATTTATCAGCCTGTAATCGTCAGGATCACTTCTAGAATCCCTTTTAAAAATCAGCATCACGTTTGCTATCCTTGGTGTAGAAGATGATTAAAAAGATAGGTTACAAACCAGAATTAGTAGTTCCTCTATTTCACAGTTGAGTCCTTTCAGGTGAACACCATCTAGTCCTGGTGAATTATTACTGTTTAGTTTATCAGTTTGTAACAAAATCTCTCCTAATGACACTTCAATCTGGGATAGTTCCCCAGATTTCTCAACTAAAAACAATGACTCAGGTTTGGGAATCTCCCTCACATCTTCATCCATGAAGAATAATACAAAAAATACCTTTTGTTTCTCCTCAGTGACCTTTCAGAAAATTTCCCTTTCTGAAATTATATACCGCAGTATTGGGCTGCTGAGGTATTTTTTCTGCAAAAGCGATATTAAATTTAATTATGCTCCTTTTTCCAAGTGGATTTTATGCTTTCTTTTGCATGTATCATCCTTGAGTGCTCCTTTAGCATTTCATACCTATCTCAGGGTATATCTACACATGCTCCCTAATTCGAACTAGGGATGCAAATGTAGGCGACCAAAATTGCTAATGAGGCGGGGATTTAAATATCCCGCGCTTCATTAGCACGATCTCGACGGCGCGTTACTCTGCTCAACAGCTGTTTCGAAAGTGAAAGTGTGTGCTGGGACACATTAGTTTGAACGAAACCCCTTGATTTGAACTAACGTTACTCCTCAAAAAATGAGCTATCCTTCCCTCCCCAATGGTTGTTTTATGGGTTTTCCTGCTTCTGATGTACTTTTTTTCTTTGCTGTTACTTTTTGAGGTTTTCACTAGCTGGTCTTCAAATTCATTTTCGGCCTTCCTAATTATTATGTTTTTTACACTTCATTTGCCAGAGTGCATGTTCCTTTCTATTTTTCTCACTACAATTTAACTTCCCTTTTTAAACAATGCCTTTCTATCTCTCTCTGCTTCTTTTACTTGGCTGTTAAGCCATGGTGGCTCTTTTTTGGTTCCCTTATGTTTCTTTAATTTGGAGTATACATTTAAGTTGAGCCTCTTGTCTTTGAAAAGTTTCCATGCAGCTTGCAGGCATTTCACTTCTTTAATTCCCGTTTAACTAACCTCCTCATTTTTGTGTAGTTCCCCTTTATGAAATTAAATACCACAATGTTGGACTACTGCGGTGTTTTTTCTGCCAAAGCGATATTAAATTAAATTAAATTACATTATACTCATTATTTCCAAGTGAATTTTATGCTTTTTTTCGCATATAATGCCATGCCCCCACCAGCATAACCTGTTCTTTCCTTCCAAAATATTTTGTACCCTGGTATTATTGTTTCTCATTGATTATCCTCTTTCCGCCAAGTTGCTGTGTCTATTATATCGAAATCCTCCTTTAATACGAGGCACACTAGTTCACCCCCCCTTAGTTAATTAGACTTCTAGAATGTGTATGTAAGCACTTGAAAAACTGTCTGCCATTACATGAATGGCAAGGATGGGTCTCTTTTTCATTTGACTGTTTCTCATCAGATCTTACCCATATTTCATCATCTTCCATCCTCTAGGACGTAGAGAAATTCTATTATAGACCCTCCCCCAAGGGATGTGTCTGTCCAGTCCATGTGCTCCTCCACATATGTCAGCGTTCCCCCAGGCCTTGCTGAATGAGCTTTTTAATGTTAAGTGCCAGTAATCTTGTTCCATTTTGGTTTAGGTAGAGCCCATCATTCCTGTATAGGTTTTTCCCTTCTCAAAAGTTTCACCAGTTCCTAATAAATCTAAACCTCTACTCCCTGTACCATTGTCTTATCCATGCATTGAGACCCTGGACTTCTGCCTATGTACCTGGCCCTGCGTATGGAACTGGAAGCATTTCAGAGAATGCTACCATGGTGGTTCTGAAGTTCAGTCTCGTACCTAGCGCCTAAATTTGGCCTCTAGGACTTCTCTCTTCCTTCCCTATGACATTGGTACCTACATGTACCACAACCACCAGCTCCTCCCCAGCACTACACGTAAGTCTATCTTGATGTCTCAAGAGATCCACAACCTTCACACCAGGGAGGGAAGTCACCATATGGTTCTCCCAGTCATCACAAACCCAGCTGTCCATTACCTCCACCTGTGTCTGCCTAACAGTGTGAGAGGTACCACTTCATCCTATGGAAGGGAAGTCCCAACTATAGGACCATTTCCTGTGCTCCAGTTGGATGTTCTCCGTCCCTGAGCCTTTCACATGCCTCAACAGCACAGAGGCTGTCTGACCGGGGTTCTTACCCTTCTACTGTGTCCCAGAAAGTCTCAGCTATGTACCTTTCCGCCTCCATTAGCTCCTCCAATTCAGCCACCCTGGTCTGCAAAGCCCATACATAGTCTCCGAAGGCTAGGAGCTCCTTGCACTGAATAGTCCATAGTGCAGGTAGTCATACATGCTACATTGGGTGCAAGAAATTTGATAGCTCTCATTCTGTGCTGTGCTTCTGCCTGCATCCTCTTTTTACTCCTAAAGCTAACTCCTTCCTTGATTTTTTTTAAAAGGTGGTGATTTTTAGTTTAGTTTAGTTTAAAGAAGTTTAAAGTCTTTTAAGTGTTTTTTTTTTAAGTTTAAAGTATTTTAAGTATTTTTAGCTTCCTCTAAACTCCCACGCAAAAGCTTCTCCTGATCAGTAGCTTCTCTGTTCACTTAGGAGCAGTCTTTTTAAAGTCCTGGCCTTCCTAAGTAGCCCTGCCCTTGGTTAAGGCTTGACGGGTGTTAAAGGGATTAGGTATCAAAGCCTTGTTAAGATGCTCTCTGCCTTGCCTATTAGGCTGCTACCCTCAGCACACAGTCCTGCAAACAAACAAGCTCAGCATAGATCCTCTATAGAAACAAGCTTAACACCTGGTATCTTTCAGACGAGAAGCAAGCACACCACAAACACACACACTACAGACAACAACTTACCCAAAGGGTCATGTAATCCCTCCTCCTCCATCTGAACAACGCCCTCGGAAAACTCCCATAAGCTGCTCCTGTTGTTAGCTCAGAATTACGTGTATTAGGATCACGGGTTTCATAGTTTTGAGAGTTAAGAGAGTGGGGATGTGAACAACAGTCACTCTAGCATTTCAGAAACCTATGCGACCGTGCGGTTTCCTTGTGCGTGCTTTCTAGAATTCCCCTTTCTGTTTTACAGCCTGAGGAGAAGACACGGCTCCATGACGAGCTAGAGGAGGCCAAGGACAAGGCTCGACGGAGATCCATTGGAAACATCAAATTCATTGGTGAGCTCTTCAAACTGAAAATGCTGACAGAAGCCATCATGCATGACTGTGTGGTGAAGCTGCTTAAGAACCATGATGAGGAGTCCCTGGAGTGCCTTTGCCGCCTGCTCACAACCATTGGCAAGGACTTGGACTTTGAGAAAGCAAAGGTAAAGCAGGGCCTGAGTGACAGTGGCTGACCAGGGAACAGCGGGGGCTCAGTGCTTTCAGTTTCCTTTGTTTTCTTTAGGAATGTATCTTGTGGTACTACCATAGATGCTGAGGTTCTTGAGGATGTGTTTTCCCGATCTGTATTCCAGCCAGGGAGTTACACATGTGTGCCATGTCCAGGTGGGAGCTTTTGAAAGTAGTACTGTCTGTGTGGGCACACATGCTTGCTCCGCATCATGGTTTCAACCAACGCAATAAAGGGCTGAGTGAATGACCATGCCAGCACAAATCGGACAGATCCACAGAAGAGGGGAAGGAGGATGGGACTGGAATACAGATGAGGGGCCACATATTTCAGTGAACATCCTGCAAGAGATAATCCCTATTGTATTCCATGAGGGTGATGAACAACAGTAATAGGTAGGAGGAAGGTACGACAGAGGTGATGGAACCATGGAATGGAGGACAGGTCATACCAAACGAAGCATCTGTCACAGAGTCTTGAACCAGAGCGTGATGAGAGAAAATGATGTGCTCCAAACTCCACATGCCTGTCCCACACATGTCCATGAGCAGCGCATCATGGATTTCAGCCGTAGTTGATGCTTGCACTCTTGTAGAGTGGACTCGAACCCCAATGGGTGGAGACAGACTTGGCAGTTGATAGCAGAGTGTAATGCTCCCTGAAACTCTCTTAGAAAGCCTCTGCGTGGCAGCAACCTGGCCCTTAATCCTCAACGCTACAGTGGGAAACAGTTTAAGACAGGAGTTCTAAAGCTTTAGCAACCCAAGGACCCCCATTTTGATTTAAAAATGTTTGCAGACCCCCCCAAGCCCCACCCACCTCAGTCCTGTGCCCCACCCCCATTCAAACCCTTCCCTCCAGGCCCTTCCCCACCTCTTCCCAACCCTGCTCCACCCCTGACCCATCTCTTTCCTGCCTCTTTCCACACCCTTCCTGAGATTGCTCAGTCCACGCTCCTCTCCCACCCTCCCAGTGCCTCCTGCATGGCGCTCAGGTATGTGGCTTAGGGAAGAAGGCAGGTAAATGTACACGTTGGCTGAGGTGAAAACGGGACAGTTCAACACATGGGATGAGAGAATAGCATACGTTTGAACTGGGACCTCTGATGGTGAAAAGACAGTGAGAGCAGTCAGTGTGCCTCACCCTTTCTCACTGCAGTCGAAACCATGTGGTGATACAAGGGCACATACATGGAGCAACAGATGCTACAACTCTGGGATGCACGACACAGTGGAACACTGTCAGGAACCATCACTTGAAGAACTTCATTTATTGTGCAGACAATTCTAGAGAGACAAGCGACTAACAAAACATCTAAGAATTTGAATTTTTTTGGCGATGACCAAAGTCTCAATCTGCAGGATGTCCACTGTCTCCACCAAGAGCTCTTGGAAGGTCTTGAAATTGGTGCTGAAACTACTGCCTCCCATTGGGCCAACGAGAAAAGGTCTTCAGGCAGTGAGGGGTTGTTCAGTCTCCAAATAGTGTTGTACTTCACATTCTTGCAACTGAGATCTCACTATTGGACTTCCTCCTCTGCAACGACAGGAAATAGCTCCCTCCTGTGGGCTCGGGAAAGCAGGCCTGAATGGCTCCAGTAAGGCCCCATGGCATTTCATCTGTGTATGGAGGGCTGGCTGGTTACTAGCTGCCAATCCTGGCACACTGGTGCTTAAGCTCCGTATAGGTTCTCTGATTTCTCAGTGGCATGTCTCATAGACCTACATGAATTTCTGCTTGACTCTAATGCAAAGTTGTTTCCTGGGACTGGGGATGAGAAATACACCTCTTGTATAGGCAGCACTGTCTGACTGGGTGGCCTGACATTAAGGATGGTTTGGGTATGGCTAGACTACAAGTTTTTGTCAGAAAAGGGTACACAAAATGCGCTCCACGTTTTGCGTACTTTTTTCCGATTCTTTTGTCGGAAGAGGCTTTTCCAACATTTGGCCCTTCTAGAGTGGACCAAATGTTGGGAAAAAACCCTCTTTCGGAAGCCCTCTTCTTCCTTGTAGAATGAGGAATACAGGGGCTTCTGAAAGAGCACATTTGCTCTTCCACAAAAAAAGCAGAAGAACAAATGCGTTCCCTGGACGCGGTGGAGCTTTTCGGGATACCTCTGATACCCCGAAAATCTCCCGCAGCCTAGCCTTACCCTTTCAGTGCTGGCACATATTTTGGTCTTGAGTGTGACTCTGGAGTTCTCTGAATTTGCATTGTCTGTGCCAGAATTGGTATCGCTTGGAATACTTCCAGTACCAGGCCTGGTGCCTGCTTCAATGCAGTTTGTCCCTTTCCATTCATCTCTGGTGTCATGGCTGGCTTGCCTCCTGAGGTCTTCCAGCCTCCTTCTTCATGTGAGGACATAAAGCTTCTTTTTGAACTCTTGCCCAAGTGCTCAAAGGGCCCTGCTTCAGTGTCTGATGGGTGGAATCTGACATTGGTGCCACTGATAGCTTTGACGCTGGATTGGACTTGAGTGACACTTTTTCTGGCAGAGATTTTCGGTGTTGCTTGCCTGCTAGGTGGGATGCTGCAGGATGCAGGCTGGACTGCTAGAGGGGTATGACTTAGCGGGGATTGTATTGCACAGATGTGATGTAGCAGGGATGGTATTGCAGAGATGTGACATAGCAGGGATCATGTTGCTGTGTTGCTTTATTGTGCTGTGTGTGATTCCTACTGTCCTGGGCGCTGTAACACTGTCTGGAGGAGGGTGATGACTCACTGCAGAAGTGTTTTTGGCCTCTCACACCTGAGGGCCAGACATAGGAGATAACAACTGCTGCCCAGGAAGGGGAAAAAAAGGTAGGTGGGGCTGGCACCAGGCTGGGGACTAAGGCCTGGGGGAAGTGTCAGTCTCTGCTGGGGTAGGATGAGCGAAGGGGCTTAGATCAGAAAGGTGGGGGGGAAGGGCCAGGGACCCCTTCTCCCTGAAAGGAATAATATTGCCTGCTCTTGGTTCTGGTGTTAACATCAACCCTATTCTACACTGTGTCCCTGTCAACGAATAAACCTCGTGTTCTATCTGCTGGCCCAGGACTCCCCACACTCCATGACAGGGTCTGTCAGAAGATAGCAGTTCAGACTCACATCTCTTACAGGCAGACTGAGCACTCACTTGGGATATAAAAGACAAGGTTTGAAGCCAGAGGATTTGAGAGGGAGGTAGGGGGAGGGTTTGGAGAGCAGCTTTAGATTTGACAAGCTATAGGACACATTCAAATAATAGAAGTAAAAGACTAACAAAGGTAGAATCTTAGAAGATTTGGAAAAAAAACTTTAAGGACTTTAGCTGGAACTCGAGTCTAGCAAGTCAGACACTGGCGAAATTACGTTTTGTTACCTGGCAGTAAGAGGTAACTTCCCTGCCTTCTATGCCTTCATATGGGGGCATGAGGAGGCATAAGGCATGTGTGTGACTCTGGCAGACACTGCTGTTCAAAAATAGCAACTTCTGGAACTCTTCCAGAAGATGTTGTGAAGGTCAAGACTTTAGCAGAGTTCAAAAAAAGAGCTAGATAGATTCATGGAGGTTAGGTCTATCAATGGCTACTAGTCAAGATGGGCAGGAACGCTGTCTCTAGCCTCTGTTAGTCAGAAACTGGTAATGGGCAACAGGGGATGGATCACTTCATGATTACTTGTTCTGTTCGTTCCCTCTAGGACATCTGGCATTTGTCACTGTTAGAAGACAGAACACTGGGCTAGATTGACCTTTGGTCTGACCTTTTAAAGATTCACATAAATGGGGAGCATGCTTTATGAAAGTTGAAAATTACTTAGAAAAGTTAAACTTGAGACCTGTGGAGTTTAGTGCATTTAGCTCATGTGGTAGAGGCTCATGCACCAAGCTCCACAGGTCTCACATTAGAAAAGTTAGACGTCTGCAAGTCACCAGAGCCTGATGAAATGCATCCTAGAATACTCAAGGAGCTGATAGAGGAGGTATTTGAGACTATAGCCATCATCTTTGAAAAGTCATAGAAGTTGGGAGAGATTCCAGAAGACTGGAAAAGGGCAAATCTAGTGCCCATCTATAAAAAGGGAAATAAGAACAACCCAGGAAACTATAGACCAGTCAGCTTAACTTCTGGGAAGATAATGGAGCAAGTAATTAAGGAATTCATCTGCAAACATCTGGAAGATAATAAGATGATAGGTAACAGCCAGCATAGATTTGTAAAGATCAAATAATGTCAAACCAATCTGATAGCTTTTTTTGATAGGCTATGAAGTCTTGTGAATAAGGGAGAAACAGTGGATGTGGTATACCTAGACTTTAGTAAGGCATTTGACACGGTGAATGACCTTCTTATCAATAAACTAGGAAAATACAACCTAGGTGGAGCTACTGTAAAGTGGGCACACAACTGGCTGGATAACCTTTCTCAGAGGGTAGTTATTAACAGTTCACAATCATGCTTAAAGGCCTAACAGGTGGGGTTCCGCAGAGGTCTGTTTTGGGACCAGTTCTGTTCAATATCTTCATCAGTGATTTAGATGATGGCATAGAGAGTCCGATTATTAAGTTTGTAGGTGATACCAAGCTGGGAGGAGTTGCAAGTGCTTTGGAGGATAGAGTTAAAATTCAAAATGATCTGGACAAACTAGAGAAATGGTCTGAGGTAAACAGGATGAAGTTCAATAAGGACAAATGCAAAGTACGCCACTTAGGGAGGAACAATACATTACACACATTCAGAATGGGAAGCGATTGTCTAGGAAGGAGTACTGTTGAAAGAGATTTAGGTGAACAACACATTAAACATGAGTCAACAGTCTGACTGTTGTAAAAAAGCAAACCTGATTCTGGGATGCATTAATAGGAGTGTTGTAAGCAAGACATGCAAAGTCATTCTTCTGTTCTACTCTGCGCTAATTAGGCCTCACTTGGAGTATTGTGTCCAGTTCTGGGCACCACATTTCAGGAAAGATGTGGAGAAATTGGAGAAGGTCCAGAGAAGAGCAAAA